CAAGGCAGCTGAATTCCGAGATGTCAGGCAATGGATAGTCAATGTGATGGTGAACAGTAAGCCTATACGCATGCACTGAGATCCAGACACGGTCCAGGGTTTGCCTAAGGCTTCCTTTATACAATCTTCATAAGGGAACTAGAGACCATGGGGGTATATACAGGAAATCTGAGTGAAGAAGAGCCAGGACACACCTGCATGGGAAGAATTTCATCTTTTTATTTTATTATTATAAAATTATAAACTATCCTATGTCCATTAGGGCCAATCAAAGTTAAAAATCAGTATCCTAGGAAACTAATTTCCACAGGGGAAAATACTTTATTTTTTTTCATTTTAAAAGCCCCGACAGACAAAATACAACTTTACGTGTCTCTCTGATGCCTAGGTGGCTAGTCAGTACTGAGGGGAAATTGTTTTCTAACTCTCGAATCTAGCATACATGGAGATCAGGCGACTCACTTTTAGCTGTCGATGTCATCTGCCTTCTTTTAATCGACTTGAACACATACAGATCGCTTAGTGATAGAAATCAAGACAGCAAGCCTTTAGGAACAGGTTTGTCTCAAGTACTTTACTAACCCACATAGGCCACATGGAAAGATCACACCATGTCAACGAGAGCAGCCCCTCGACTCCGTGACACTTGTCTCCGTTTGACCAGTTCTCAAGTCATCCAGCTTTACAGGTGAGCAAGATGTGTCACTAAGCTTCAGTGCGTGAACTATAAAGTGACATTTCAGCAGGATGGGGTAACCAGCTAAGTCTTCTTCTATCATAATACTACTTTAATTGTCACTTCAAGTTTATGCTAATATATGTACAGAGTTAATACATGCATGCAGATTTAAAGCACTTATATGTGACCTGAAAACTCTCCACAAGTCCTAAAGAAATAAAAACCACTAAAACTGTCTTTTCCTTTCCTATAAACAACATGCATTTTTTGTAACTACTTAGCCTAGAAAGAAACATATTATATCTAGAATTATTCGGCATTTATATAAGGTTAATCATAATGTCCATTCAATAAGAGTTCTACAGAGAGTTTTTTTTTTTCCATACCATGTAAGCTTATTTTAAACAAACCACAAGAATGTAAGTGTTACTAAGGACTCAGGGCAGCTGAAGAGTTCTGGAAATCTGGTCAGCGTATAAATTGTCGCTGAAATGGGGAAACGGGTTTGAAAACATGTTGTTTGCAATTAAGGAAACCAACAGGAAGAAAACGAGTAAGAGGGAAGCAAGGGAGATTCCGTGAACAATGAATGGATTCTGTTTGACAAGGGCAGCAACTGCCCCAAGCGCATCCTTCTGCTCTCATCTGCTAGAAATACACAGGCCTGGGGAAGCACAGCTTGGTGTTTTATCCTCAGGGTGATCTAAGCTTCCCCGTCTTAGATAATGCATTAAGACATATGGCAAAGCTGCCCCTAAATTCAGAGGGTTTATAGATCTCCCCAAAATGACTCAAACTATCCCCTGGTACTAGTAAAACATTCTACCTCGAGTATTTAAATGCGCTTTAAAAATATTTGTCTTCTAAAGAACTATTTTCCCAAATAACCTATCCTGGCTTCATATTTTAATATAAATATTAAAAGACACATACAAGTTTCTCTCCTTAACAAAAGGAAGTTGAATCTACTCTAGATTTTCACAGCAAGATTTATATGACTTTTCCTTAAAAAAAAAAAAATCAGTCGCAAATACTTGGTAAATTTAATTTACATGTGTATTCACGAAATGCCAGCAGTCAAGCAAAACCTATTCCTAGTTCTATTGCTCTAATGCAGCTTTTATTAAGAACGCTCACTGGGTAACCCCTGCAGCATTTTGTTTTGTTTTTTTTTGTTTTTGTTTTTGTTTTCATACCACTGTAAGGTCAGCACACTTTGTTCAACAGTGATTGGGGGAATTAGAAAAAGTAAGTATCGTTTATCGCAAATATTTGATAAGCATGCTTATAATTTCCATATATAAAGATATCCTAATTCTCTACCATACAGCACACAGACTTGTATTCACTTATAAAAAACACCATGGGCAAATCTGTCATTCGGTATCCGTGCTGCGAGATCTCTGTGGAAATCAGTTTCTGCCTTGTAGAACCACAATGCTTGGAAAACAAAAAGCCTAGCACATCAAACAATAACTTGTTTCAGTATCAGAAATTTCACTGAAAGGCCAATTAGTTTGCTTTCCAGCTGAACATACATTCCTAACTACAAGTCTCGGTTCATTCAGGAGAGAACGCGAAATAACAATTAAATAAAAAGCAAAGGCTGAATAAAACTCTTGACATGAACGTCTAATTTATTCAAACTTCAACTATCAAGCAAACAACCTATGAAATTCCATGTTGTCTTCTAAACTCAGTTTCTGTCTCAAAGGGTCGATTATTATGTATTTTTCATATAGATGCTACCAACGAGCTTACAGTCGATGGAGGGAGAGAGAGGAAATCAGAGAACCTTTCTATGAGCTCAACCCTGAGGCAAATCTGTTGCCTGTGGAGTTCCTACTCTACTAAGCAACTTGTAGGAGACAGCACTGCAGCTGGGAGCCTAAGATCTGGAAACTGTCCCCCTGGGTACGATATCACAAAATGACTTTGCTCTATTCCTTCCCCAGCCTGGCACCATGGCTCAAGCCTGCACAGAACTGTCACACCCCGAGCCCAGCTCCCGTTGTTTAGATAAGGACTTCCCCACTCTCCCTAAAATCTAACCAAGAAGTACATAAGCAGCTGGCCAGGTCAAAACTGCCCCCCCCCCTTCTCTCTAGAGAGTTCCCATTTGTCTATGTCCCTTTGTTGATAGACTCTGAAAGGCACTGTTAACAGAGAACACACAGCAGGGTGGATTCACAAGTTTGCAAACACACACACACACACACACACACACACACACACACACTTTCCAGCCAACATTCTAAGTACAGGTTTACTAGGTTTACCTAGACAAAGTAGCTTGTCAGAAGAAATTTAGCACATTTCCACTTAGTCTGTAGGTAAGCCTTACACTGAGATGTCATATAACACCCAAATCACCAAACATTGTAACTATATGAATCGAACACAGTAGCCTACTATGACTTCTCAATCTTCCCAACCCTATGCATATGAGAGTATCAGTTCATCCAAAAACCTCGCTTCCTCCTAACAGCCATGATTTACAATTATGTACTCCCTCTGACTGGCAAATGGAAGGGCAACACTGCCTACACTCAGTAAAGCTTCGTGCCATTTTTGACTTAGAGGTCCAAAATACCATAAGATTGCTCCAGGCAGCACGGATTTCCCTTGTTCAAATGTGCTCTGAGTGCATGGAAGGGCATTATTCCTGGAATCTGGCATTTGTGCCTAGTTAAAAGTCATTACCAACAGCATTGCGAACTTAGCAACACGCCCTCGACCCCAGGTGTCACTGCTAACTGCAATCCCCTCCACGCGGACCACGCGGACCCCCCCAGATGCGAAACTCATATGGTTTGGAGCAAAGGTGAAATCCTTCTTGAATTACATATCATAAAGCATGTGAAAGCTGAACTATGGGATGGCTTAAGGGTTTTACTTCAGATTCTGTAGCAGCGGATCCTAAACTGCAGTGCGATGGTGCTGGAGCGCTGGTGTTCCCTACTAAGACAGCTCCCAGCGGCGCAGTCCCCATGTTCCACCGTGACATCTATCAACCAGAGCTGGGGAATCCCAGCGTCCGTCTCAACAGCCTCTGTCCACAGAGTGGTGCAATCCTAACAGGTCTCTGGCACACCAAGCACACTGTCAACATAAAAGAACAGTGGGTGAACTTTGCTCTGGCCTGTCATTAAAACCAAATCATCTGGTATTAATTAACTGCAGGACACGAGGACCACGGACGGCAACCCGGAATCTCCGTCTAATTGGCTATCACCAGTCCCAAATTTAAAACAGCTGACACACTTTGCACCACAGGCAGGCAGACAGAGGAGGTCCTGACGCCGGATTTGTGAAAATCCAATTAATCCAACCATCCATTACACAGATGTATAAAGACCAAGGGGAAAAAGCCATTAGGCATGTTAGAATGTGTAATATGTAATCACGTTAATTTACGGTTTGAGGAGGAATCCCTGCTATGTGTTAGTGATTATACGGTAATCAGGAAATGATACAGAAATCTAGGTCCTAGAGATGGTTTTATGAATGGCAGACACACAATTCTACCTCAGACATGTAATTAGACTCGCAGCTAATATCTCAAATCAGATAGTATGACACTCCTGAGTGAACGCTCCTCAGTGATTAAAATAGGAAAAGTCTGGGGAATTGAGGGCTAAACTTCTCGTCTGATTGTCTTAAAGGCCTACATAAAATTACATTCATCTGTTCTGGTTCCTAGACCAGGAAAAACAACCTCCAAACCAAAACAGTGTGAACAAAATTCTCGACAGGATTTTCCCAAGGAAATACACTCTTTCATCTCAGACACATACAAACTAGCTCCACAATCCACCTGTGTGCTGTTATCAGTGAACCCAAAACTCTGCCATTGTCTTTAGAGGCATCTTAGCCAGCCCTTTCCTCCTCAGGACTCTCAGGGACAAACAGCCTCTGACTTCCTCAGAACCACATTCCAGATCAGAAGGAAAGAGCTTGGAAACCAACCGGTTCCTCTTTCAGAGAAGCCCCACACACAGGGACCCACAAACACTTCCTAACCACAGCCAAGTTCAACAACACACAATGCCTAAGAAAGCAGCAGGCACATTCCCGAGCAACTTCCTGAACCAAACCCCCAGGGTTTCAAAAGTTTCATGCAGCCCAAAGGAAGACCAAACTTAGGATTCCACCCAGAGCAAAAGCCCAGAGACTCCAAGAACATTGAGAAATCGTCCGGCCCCCTGGCACCTGCTAAACCGCCCTCCTCTAGGACCGCTAGGACCTGGGAGCGCCCGCGCCCTGCAGCCGTCGAAGGGGGACCCCAAGATCGGCCCGGGGGGGCTGGCGAGGCACTTACCGCACCGCTTACACAGCACCCGGCTGACCTCCTTTTTGAGGTTGCGTCCAGTCTCCAGTGGGGGGAACGAGGCTCGGAAGGCGGGCGGCGTGCGGCCGCTGCTGTTGGCATCGGGTTCCATGAAGAAGATGTACCTGCTGTCCTCCTTGAGCCGCCCGCAGGACGGGAAGGCTGGGTGGCCCCAGGTGTCCAGGCGCACGGTGAGCAAGGAGTCCTTCTTCAAGCCCCCAGCTTTTACCGCCCACACTTGGTGCACCTTCACCAGATAGGGCGCAGGGTCCCCGAGTTGGTCGGTGCTGGGCGCAGGGGACCCGGTGGGCAGGGTCCAGTTGGCAGCGGGCGGAGGGTCCTGGGAGGGCGGTGGGTCCTGGGCGTACTGTCCCTGCGCCCCTGCCCCTACCTCGCCCGCTGCCTTCCTGTCGAGTGCCCCCTGCTGCCGCCGCGGCGGGTGCACCTTTCCCTCGATCACCACCGCGGCGCGCCGGGCCAGCTCCTGCACCGAACCCACGCTGGGCGGAGACGAGTAGCACACCGAGGCCCCCGCGGGAGCCGCCCGCTCGGCCGCCGCCCCCGGCACCAGGGCCGCGGTCCCCAACAGCAGCAGCAGCGGCGGCAGCAGCGGCAGCAGTGGAGGCGAGCGGCCGGCGGGCCGGGGATGCGGGGCGCTGGGGCTGGTACCCAGCGGGCGGCGCGGGGCGCGTCGCCATCTCATGGTGTGAGGTGCGTGCGGGCGCCTGTCGGTGCGGACTCTGCTTGGCTGGCTCCAGCTGCCTCGCCTTGCCTGCCCCCACTCCTGCCCTGACCCTCCTCCTTTTATTTATTTATTGGGGGGGTAGGAGAGTTGTTTATGGGGGGAGAGATGGGTGGAACCACAGAAAGGCAAAAAGGCGAATTTTAAAAAAAAGAAAAAAGAAGCAATAAAAAGGAAAAAGGAAGAGAAAAAAAAGCCTTTGCCACCGCCTCGGTTGCGGGAGTGACAGGTTCCCCCCGCGCCACCGCTGCCGCCGCGCCCCGAGCCCTGCTGTCGGGGATGCTGTCACCGGAGGAGGAGTGGAGGTGGAGGCGCTGCTCGGCGGGGAACAGTCCTTTGTGTGGAGTGCTGCTGCGGCGGCTGCTGGGCTGCGAAAGCGGCGGGGACGAGAGCGCGGGGACAGAGCCCTGGAGGCGGAGTTGCGTGCCTGGAAATCGTTGGGTGGCCCAGGCGACAGCGCCCTGTGCCTGGCCTGCCTGTTTACCTGTGCGGCGGACTCGCCCCGCGCTCTGCCTGCCCTTCCTGGTGCTGATCCCGAGCCCGGCCGGCTTGGCCCTCCCCTGGCTGGCTGTCGCCCTGACTGCTGCAATTGGGAGGACCGGCGGCGGGCTGCAAGGCTGCAGTCCGAGTGGGCTGCGGAGATGTACTGGGGAGTGAGAGGTGACGCTTCAGTGAGCAGGGACCTGTTAGCCGCGCTGGATACCCAAATGTAGGGAGGAAGCCAGAGTGGGACACAGGATGAGGGTCCTCGGTTCACAAAAGTTTTGGGATGCTCGGGTTACTTGGCAGTCAAAAGGGAGCAACATGTTCATAGAAGACAGGCAGCAATTAAAATAACAACTTCAAAACACGCCCCCTCTCTTTCCAGCGCAAGGCACTGTACACTTCAGGTATGAAGCCTCTGTCTATCCATGCTTTTGACACTTCAGTCTCGCTATCCCTCTGACTTTGCCTCTCCTGAAATAGATGGTTCGCCATGATTTCAGGACTCCTGTAATGCTCCTTCCTCATCAAAGCATAGTTGAGTCAAGTGCTTGCTCAGTAAGGCCCTTTTATATATAGTTTATGGCACTTTTCTTTACAGACTAAAGTTTTCTTGGGCACTAGAACAAAAGGTCACAGGGATACCATAGTAGATTTAATATTTCACGCAAGTCCCCCGCCCCTCCCTAACTCCTATACTGCTAGGCTTAAGGACCTTATTCCAAAGTAAAAATCCATCACATCTCATGAATATTTTTCCAGCAATATAATGCAAGGGGAAGAAAACATGTTAGCATGTCGAGATAAATTATTCCCTCTTAAGAATGCTCTTTTACATGTTCAGGGGCAGAATAAAGCAGAGGTAAACCATTCACTGAGCAGTCGATGCAGACTGTGAAAACCGAAGTTTTTGGGAACACTCTGACTTCTTGATGTCTTTACTCGGGGATTCTACAAGTTGTCATTGCTTTCAAATATGGTATATTAGCTTCCATGCTTTGCCTTGTTTTGCTGTGTCTTCCATAGCTGAGCATCAAACCCAAGGCCTCATACATATTGGGCAGGTGCTCTACCACTGAGCTATAAACCCAGCCTTTAAAAAAAAATGACGTTTTGATTTTAATGCAACATCTTTCTCAGTTGCTAAGACTCACTCTTCAACCTGCATCCCATTCAGGAGTTGAGCATGTAGTGCCCCCGCATTGACCTTCTGAATACCCAAGGTTATAGTCTGTGCTAGCAAACCCTAGTAGTCATGATTTTATACTTCAAAAGCTAAGAGATTTTAAGCCATGGCAAACCATTCTAAAATGCTCTTGGCCCAAACAGTATCCACTCATGTTTGCCTGGCATCATAGTCGTTGGTGTAAGCCTCAGCACAAATGGTTCTTCAGACGGTGGTGGGGACAAGGGAGGGTGGCTAACCTTTAATGGCATTAGCTGAGATAGTTCATCTCATAAAGAAGGCTGGAAGATGGCTCAGCAGTTGAGAACTCTGGGGCCCTTCTCAGAGGACCTGAGTTCAAGTCCCAGCACCCACGTGGCAGCTCACAATTAGGTGTCTTTAACTCTGGTTCCTGATGATCTGATGCCCTCTTCTGGCCTTCACAGGTACCAGGCACACAAATGATGAACGCACAAGCAGACAAAACATACAAATACATAATAATTGATTTTAAAAAAAAAAGCCAATCTCTTTCTTTAGCAGACATCCTGGGCTTTTACAAAGAATCTGAGTATGTCCCAAGAGAGGGAGTGGCCAGAAGTAAGCAAGGTCTCTTAAAGTCTAGGCTCAGAATTAGAACTTCATTAATTCATCTCATCACTAGTCACCATCACAAGGCCGCCTCAGACTCTAGGAGTGCAGTGGCAGGCTACCCATTCATGTAAGAAACACCAATGTTGCGCCATTGTTAAAAGGCAGAGAAACAAGAAGGAAGAAATATGGTTTCCTTCTGCAATGACCCACCACATATGTTAAACATTCCTTCTGCTCCAACTGTTCCATGGAGCCTTCTTTTAAATACGAAACTCTCCGAGTGACCATTTCCCACAATGCACGTCATCCGCGTCATCTTCATCCTTGACCGTCTCACTCTAAGGAGCTCAGACACATCAGGACTTCTACTCCTCTCTTCGCCTAGACCATAAGTGTGTTAGAAAGCACAGGCCGTCCATCCACTCTTCTCGCTTTAACTCAGCTATGGACACATATTAAGCACTCAATAAATGTCAGCTAATTAATCAGGGACTGATTTGGCAATGTGCTTGTCACACGTTACCTCAGCACTGTCGAAGGGAAGTGGAATCCCTGGCAATAAAAACAACAATAAAATGTTAAAGCCCTGACTTGGAGTCGTTAAATGCATAGCTACCTCCTCTTCGTACTTTACAAAGCATTTTATCCACGATCAAACATAAGCTGCCTCTCTGAAGAGGTACTTCTTAAAATGCCTTTGCTGACTCCCACACCCCCCCCCTCTCTCTGCTAAGTGGAAAGGGATAATTTGGATGGATATTTTCAGTGCAAAGGTAGGCCGCCTTAGAATAGTTCAGCTAAGAATTGTTTGCACATGTATTGGATTTCAGTTCTTATATCGGAGCCCTCATTAGCAAGGAAACACCTAAGGAGAACTGATAACCCATTCTGACCTTTAAAATCAGAAGAGAAATGATATTTCTAATATCAGTAGGACTGGGGTGAAGTCAAATAATTTGCATTTACATCAAGATTTTGGTGGCTTGCTATTGGTAGAAAGACTATACTTTAAGAATCAGTCAAGGAGCCTCAGGACCCAAAGAGATTTCTCAGCAGGTAATGTCACTTGCTACCAAGACTGGTGACCATCTCAGTTGAATCCTGGGACCCAATTGCCTCAAGCTGTTCTCTGCCCCCCCACCTGTGTGCCTGGGCGTGCATGTCCCCTTATTCCATGGAATAAATACATGAAATTACAAAGAAAAAGAAATGCTGTCAGAAATTCAAGATTAACACTTTATTGTCCACTACTGTGTAGCATGTAGCTGTCTACAGGCAGCATGGTCAGATATGCAATGTCACTCCTTTGAAATTGCCCCATCCAATTTTAATAAAACAGTATACATTACCTCCTCGGTGGTGGGCTGATGCAGGCTATCCCAAAGTTAAGGAGGTGTGGGTGAGCTACCACATTTTGACAGCAAGGGTGCTAGGGCTTAGCTTGTCTTTGGGGGGCAAAGTTGGAAACAAAAGGAAAGTAATGGATCAGAGAATTTGCTATCATATTACTTGGAATAACATCTGTTTGACAGGGAAAGAACAGACAGACCAAAGTATACTGGTGTGAAGTATTCTTTTCCCTAGTTTAGAAAATTTGAAGAGGAATCAGCAATTGGCTCCACAGTACTGCGCTGCCCAGACATAGTTTTCCACCCTTAGTACCCTTAGTGCTTTATGCCCTATTAAGTGTTTCTAAATGGTAACCATAGAAGGGGTAACAGGAAATCCACAGAGGCACTAGACTCTACTTTATCATCATTGGCCAATAGCTTGCAGGAGAGCACACCTCCAGCCATAAATCATGAAACAACTCGACTGCAGGACCTGGAGCCCAGGACGGTACAATCTCCAAAAGAACTCAAGCATGCTTAACAGCCTGACTCACAGCAGAGCTGAGACCTGGGATGGCTGACACAAAGCACAGTGACAGTCAACCAGACAAGCATGAGCCCAGAGGCCACCAGGAGAAGAAAAAGGTGGCAAGATGATGCTCTCTTCTGGAATAGTTATGATGTTAGGAAGACTCACAAAAGGCAATTCTGAGTTTGGGAGAATTGCCTCTTGTTCTTTGCAACCTGGTCACCCCCATCTGCACAACCAATACCTGCATCAGGATAGTTGTTCAATTATATTCTTTCTGTAAAATCCATAGGAGTAAATATAGAGATGAAATCTAGTGTCACTAAATCATACACCCGAGATGACTGAAGCTCTGGGGGTTTCACATGCTTGAACCCTGAGAGCAGGAGGAAAAGAGAATGAAGACAAGAGGACCCCCCCCCCCCCATTGTTCTTTCCTGATCCGTGGCATCCTGGAACTTCCTAGCAAAATGAAAGACGACTTCCTTAACCCAAGAACTCTCTATCCGGTTAGAGATGACTCACCCCCTGAAAGGCTCGTGTATTGAAAACTTGGTTCCCGGCTAGTGACATTCTTTTAGGAAGTGTTGAAAATGTAGGTGCAGGGACCTAGATAGAGGAAATAAGACACTAGGGGTGAATTTAGGGGATACAGTCCCCTTTGCCGTCTGTCCTGTCTGATAGAAGATGAGTTACGAACCCAGGGATTGTGAACTGAAGCCTTTGAAACGGTGATCTGAAAAAGATACGAACACCCATTGAATATTTACATAGGCATTACAGTTTATGAAAGGAACTAGCTGGGGTCGATAGCCGGTTATGCTAATTGCTCACCCTTTCCTTCTAGAATTCTGCGGGA